AATCAATACTAAACATATAGTTAAGTATTATTATGTTTAATATTAAAATTAAGGAGACTGCCTATTTGATTTATKAACTTTCCTTGCTGCCATTAGATATTAGGAAAAATAATATTTATTGTGTACCATTGCAGGGAAGGACTGGGGCGGATAAGCATAAAAAAAAAATATATAAATTATATTTTAGGGCTCTAAATTGAAATTATAAACTTGTATTATGGTAAATAGATTGTTCCACTGTAGTCTGTTATTTTACTTTTGTAACCACTAAAATTATTTAAAAAGAATATGAATATAGTATGTTACCTTATACTCACCTTATATTATTCAGTATCAGTTACTTAAGTTTGCAATGGGAAAATTTTACTATTATTGTCTCTTGATATTTGTCTATTGCAGTGTTGTTAAGACACAAATTCYTAAAGGAACTAAGGTAACTAGGAACCAGATACTTTTTTAGAGGAACGAGGAATTAAACAAATTCCAATTTATWCTAGAGGAACAAGGAATTGAACGGATTCCTATGTAAAAGGAATTTTAATAACACTGGTCTATTGTTATTGTATTTTTATATTATAATATTTATGGTTATGGGTTTATGATTCACAACAATATAATTTGTTTTGGAGAATATACAATTTTTAGAAGCACACAACTATGGTTGGGGAGGGGCAGAATCATAATACTAAAATGATGAATTATACAATCCACGCCTATCACTTTATATATTTTATTTAAATTGATGTGCTTTATATTACTCCAAGCAGAAGTTGATGTAAAAGTAGTTAAAACTACATTCAAATTGACATAAAATGGTGAATTTCAGTTCTTAAGGAATTTCCAATATTAAAACATAGAACATTTACACAAAAAAACTCCATATTGGACTACTAAAAAACAGGSCTTTAAATTTATAAATACATTTTAGTTATTTTAATTATAATTATTATTATATTACTGTATAGCATAAGCTCAATTATTAATAACTATGATTATATTAGTAAAATTAATTTGCGTATATGGGCTGTTACTTGTTAAAAAAATTACTTATGGAGAACTCCTTATTTTTTGTAATTTTAGACTAAGAAAAGGAAGATAAGCTTTTATAGGTAGGTAGGTGGTATTTCCTGATGTTTAATTATTGTTTTGAATATAAGTATGAATTCATCATTCATCATCATCATCTCTTTTTCTAGGATATACGCACTGTTTGAACTTTGAAATATTTAAACCTCGTTAAAAATAATTAAATTAAATATTGATTATATTTACCATGACATGGTTAAAACTCAGCAGTCGCCGATGAATTTTATGYTATAAAAAACCATCAGCATATTAATTATTGTGTTAATTTTATGTTGTATACTCAGCATATTAATTATTAATCCATAATAATTTTCATAGGGTATTTCTGTTGGCTGTGTAACTCAGAGATTAGTAACTAGTACTTTAAAAAAAAATAGTGTCACTCATAGAATTATAAGTCTATGGTGTCACTAGTCAGTACTCAGTACTCACTACTCACCCAATCACACGTGTTATGTCGTTGTATTGTGTGTCATAATATTACAATGCGTAGTGTATTGTGCGAACTTCACACGGACACACGATTATGATAGGTACATTTTATTATCRTGTACATGATCTAAGATAGATTATAATATGTAGGTATATTGTATTTGTATATATAATAAAAACAACAAAAAATACAAATAAGTACTTTAAATGTCATTCATAAATTCATAATCATAATACCTAGGTATTTKCTATTAATCTATTATAGCCGTAAATCGTAATAGTTTGGTAATACCATTGATTATAAATACTAGTATTTATTTATAATYAATGGTAATACTTAGTCGTGGACTGTAAAGTGTAAATATTTGGTTGCCGTTCAAACTTTTTTCAATGGGCAACAATTCAGTAAGAATTTTTATTACTCTGAATTCTGAAGCCTGTGCCTTGTGAGCCAGACTAGGTTGTAACAAATAGTTTAAATAATATACTGTGTAGACTACTTGCGTGACCCAACCACCCAACTACCCATTGGCGCAAATAGGTGAGGGCTTGGGGGGACTAAGTCCCCCCAGTTCAAAAGTTATTAATTACTACTGAGAATATATAATTTTTAGAAAATATTATAGGAGGGGCTTTAGT